CGCGTGAGTTGGTTCCCCCCTCATATATCTGCTCGCTCATTTTCCTGAGGTTGTTGCTCTCTTCCCCGGCGTCTCTTCCCTTGTCGCCCTCTCCATCTCACAGTCTCTTCCACTACTCCCTCGCCGCTCATCATGCCGAACCCCCGTTCCCGCGAGGCACAAGTAGCGATGCGCCGCGACGCGATTAACGCGAGCCTAGCGCGTAAACCGGCTAGGATTTCGGTTCACTCCGCGCTGCTCGCTGCTGAGGAAGTAAGTCACACGCCGAATTCGTCCGGCGGCCCTTGGCTGACCTTGATCAGAATGCCGGGTTTGATGCCGGCGAACTTGTGCGCGAGTACGTTGACTCTGCGCACACGGGCGTCTTTACCGTTCGGAATACGCGCAGCCGGGTTACAGAGGAAGATAAGGCGTACCTTGTGGAGTTGCGTAGTCAGATTGGATTGGGGCGCGTGAAGTCTTGGGTTGATGCTGTCTCGGAAGCGCCGGTGCGTAGTATTTGCACTAACTTCCAGACCTAGCTTCTTAATTCATGCCGTAGCATCATCGTGATAAGCCTGAGTTCTGGCGCCACGCCTTCCAGCATCACAAAGCAGGTGCGTCGTCGTACAATTTCATTTACTCACAGTACTAATCGCCTATCTACGCAGAAATCGTTGCTCGCGTCAACGCCCTACGCCGTCCACGCACGTCCTCGCGCCGCGGCGCTGCTGCCACCCCTTCGCGTCGCAACTCTGTTGCGCACACCTCACGTCGCGCCCGCCCTTCCGCTACCAGCAGCCGCGCAGTTCCCGCCACCCCTCAACTCTCAGCTCGCGAGGCCCGGCAGCAGGCGCGCACTGCACGCCGTGCCCATCAGCTTGCTGCTGCGCAGCCTTCTGAGCGGAGCCTCCGGCACCAGGCCCGCGCCTTGCGCGCTGAGCAGGCCGCCCGCGACGCGCAGGTTGACGAAGTCATTGAAGACGTCGAAGTCAAAATGGAGGAGGACGATTCCGCCCACGACGCGCGGGTTGATGTAGTCTTTGAAGGTATCGAAGGTAAGATCGAGGACTACCACGCTTGGGCGGACCATATGCGGAGGATTCAGGAAAGGCTTGAGTCTGAAAGAGCTGGAAGAGTGGGGGATCTATAAGAATAGATGGTATAAAGAATTACTGTTAAATTCGTCGTGTATACCGCAATGTTATTGATACATAGTCTGCACGTAATGTACATTATATCCGAGAGGCAAAGTACGCATCAATCAATTGATTGGACCTAGCGCTGGTCGTGCCACATCGCCGAAGGACCATCTCAGACGATCTGAACCGCCGACCGCCCGAATCGCCGACTACCCAAAGCGCCGACGAACCAGAGCGCCGAGGCGACCGCCTGCGGTCAGGGCACGGAGAAGAAATAATATATTAATATATAATATATGTGTAAGGCCGGAGGGTAATGACGCATTTTTTTTCGTCTTTCACGGTCATTGATCAACCGTTTGCCACTGTCTGTCACGACCCAGACCAGCTAAGGTATGTGCCCTGGCACGCTCCAGGAGATCCGCCTGTAACCGTCCGAAGCCATCCACAATCGCCTTCATATCTTCAGCAAAAGCCTTGACATCTGCGTGCTGACTCGGATGGCGGACATTTAGTGGAAGAGAATACAGTCGATTAATGTATGAATCACCTCGTCCTGAAGAGCTCCATCGACTATCTTCACCACGTCAGATATTACCCAGCGTGCCAGGTCGAAGGCTTGGGGTCGATAGTTGAAAGGGAGCAACCGCGGATGATCAAGCCACCAGCGCGGAAACCCAGTCTTATCGCGTCTCTCCGGTCCGTAGTTGCCCGTGAGAACGAGTAGCGCATAGCGCGGAAGCTCCTCCCATTCAGTCTTACTATTGTTACTGAGGGTATTCTGCAGCTTCCAGAGAAACTCTGAATGAGGTGGCATTCTCCCCGTCTTAAGACGCTCACTGCCGATAGCCGCCCGGGTCAAGGACTACAAGATAGTCAACGGACGCTGCCACGCTAGTGAGATGATCATCGTACAATTTCCGAGGTCAAGCCTCTCATGATGAAAGTGACGCGAGGCAAGCCGGGGAAGTAGGTACAGATATCGGCGGCTCGGCGCTCCATTGACCACCAGAAATCTTCCAAAGGGTAGTCGTTGTCCGCCATCGCAAGGCGTGTTGGGATAAGGAAGAAGGTCGCGATGCGTCAGTGACATCTGGTATATATTTCACACCTCGCACACGTGGGAAGTCGCATCAGGAAGTTTTGACCCGGAACTCCTTGTTGTCGCCCTTCATATAGGGCGCCTCTGGAGGCAAGCTAACGTTGTCTTACCCATCATGCAGTCAAAGGACATAGCACTTGCTGAGGAAGCCGCGACGAGACTGAGACTCCAAAGCATTATGGCACGACTCGGACCCGAGATGTTCGATATTCGCCCAAGGACTGGCAACCTGACGAAGCTCGCGGATGGGTTGCGCTTCGAAGCGGTGAATGATGATCTTCATTCCAGCACGCGCGCGCTGACATGCATGTCGATGACAGGCGGTTCAAGCCGCAATTAGCGGGGCGCTGGCCATTCGAGGCGTTCCCCCAATGAAGCCTAGTCGCTCAGTCGGACGGGCTTGCCAATACGCGGCATTCAACACCGCCGATGGCGGTTACGATATTCTCGAAGGCGAATGCCGCCATATTTCTGGACCAGATGAACGCTGGGGAATTCCCGATTCACCGGTGGCGCCTCGTTCGGTCTCTGACATTCCGAAATTCGTGAAATGGCTTGGCCTGACCGTTGAGCTCGACGCCTGGTGGGAAGAGGATGAAGTAGCCTCACTCGACGGTGAAGCTGCCCAATCAGCGATCGCCTTTCACCTGATGACGACCACCGAGGTAAGGGCCTCTTGCCCAGCAGACTTAGCCGCGCTGACGGTATGCTGCATTCAGAGGTTCGGCCACGCACCCCCCATCAAAGGGCACGGGCGTAACGGCGAAAGGCCCTTGCTGGCGCCGGATCTCGTGAACACGCTAGAGCATCTGGATGCTCAGATGAAGCAGTTGCGCCTAATGATGGGATACCGGAGGCTGACACTGCAAGAAGCGATTGTGCAGGCCGAGGATCACCTCCTGGCGGGGTATCATCACCTGTACAAAGGCGCCCCAGCTGCGGCTCAGGAAATCAAAGCTGTGGGTGAGTATTTTCTCGAACACGGCGAGCGTTATGGGGGTCCCGAGATGATGAACATCTGGATATCGGACTGGTCGAATCGCTTTCCCCTAGCTCAATAGATGGCTTCCGCCTGTACACTACTTTGAAACATAGATTACGCAAGAGGCGTTGAGCGAACGTGATGCCATGTATGATGGGCGGTGATGGCCATTAAACAGCGATGACGCCTACTTTGCGCTTTCTTCTCAACCCACCGCGATGCCTGAGCTGCCTCTTCAAGTCCCGATCATCGATCCCCGTGTAGAGCGGGACATTCCTCTGGGGGAATCTATTGAATCTCAGGAATCAGACGTTTATGTTGCCCGGCACAACTCGATTGTGAACGCTCTTGGGGCTCGCGTAGACGGCGCTTTAGCGGAGGCGGATTTCCCTCTCGATCTGCTTAGCAAAGGGCTTTCTTTTGAAGTCGTGGGTGCAATTCACCGTCGTCGCATTCCTATATCTTTGACTGACGCGAGAGCAGGCGCTGTGTCATGGGATCAGCGGCCATCTTGCTATTAGAGGACGGCCTCTGCATGCATCAGAATGGCGTAAGACCATACAGCGCGAGGCAAGCATGTCAAGCGGCGACGCATTGAAGTTGCTCATCAAGGATTCGCGGGCGTACAATCGTCTGATCGGCTCGCACGGGGCCGACGTCAATATAGACGACGGCGGCATGCGTCTGGAGTGTAGAGAATGGATACAACGCTGCGGCGAGAGGCTGAACACCGCGGGTGAATGGTGGCAAGAAGCAGCCAGCACCCAGATTCTAGATGGAACGATAGCCCACGCGGATGAGGCTGCTGAGCTCTACTTCGCTACGTTGGTAAGTGAGGCACGCATTATGGAGGCTTGAGATTCACTTCGCCAAGCAGGGATCAAGGGAACAGGACGATCCCGAGCTCGCGCTGCAACAACTGACGGTGACACCGGCTCTCCTGGGTCTTGTACAGAACCTATTGACGCAGAGTGACGCCCTTCGAAAGCGAACGATGGAAGCGAGGGACGCGCTCTCTTCCCGAATCCTCGATCAAGAGTGCCGTCTTGTAGCCTTCTATTGCTGCTATTACCCTGGAATCGCACAAGCCCTCCACATTCCTCGCAGGGAGGTATGCTCTCGTACAATTGACGCCGTTGAGAGGATGGTCGGGGTAGCCTACATTAGCCCTCTTCTTGGCTTGAATACAGACTCCTCACAATGAAGTGTGAATAAGTTGCCGGCTACCTGACGACTGTGTATATTCATCGACAGAATGCCAATAGATTGGACGATACCTAGCTTACGGCTGATGCGAGACGAGGCTTCAAGTCCCCAGACCAAATCGTCGGAATTATTTGAAGCGCATTGCATATCTCGAGACGTCAAGTAAGAAAGAGGATGATACGTGGGGGGGGGAAAGTACGACAGATTACGGTGAACATATAGAGTAATGCGGGCGTGACGAAAGATACGGGCAGGCGGTCATTCAGAGAAACACAGAATACCAACGATGCGAGAACCCAATGAAGTCCGATAAAGCAGTAGCGGGGCTCAGCCCGAACGAGCTTGACGATTGCGGAGACCAAAGCGACGCCCTGCAGCGGCATCGGCAGGCGGAGGACGGGAGCCGGCACCGCGACCTCGACCGGTGCGTCCACCCTTCTGAGGCGAGGCAGTTGCAGGACCAGGAGCGGGTTGCTCGTCGTCAGAGCTACCGTCGGCATCCTCATCCCCGGAACTCATCTCGCCAACGTGTGTCTGCGACACTCGGTGAGGAGCTGAGCCCTCGCGGTCGGCCGCGCGGCGCTGAGCGGACTGAGTTAACGCCCAGTCCTCGCCAGTCTCCAGCGGGACGTCCTCGTCGCTAGAGCCCTCTTCCACGTCGGTGGCGTTGCCAGACGGATGCGGTGAAGTAGCGGCAGGAGCTTGGGAAGGAGGCGCATCGACACCTCTGTCTGAGTTTGCAGCCGACACATTCCCAGAAGACGGGTTTGTGGTAAGAGGCGAGTCCAATTCCGGCGTCTTGTGCGCCTGAGAAGTCACGGTATCGACAGCCACAACGGCTCGCGCTCCTGGCGAAACTGACGGCCGCGGCGTTGACGCCTCCGCGGGGGGTTGCTCAGGCGGCCTGGGAGGAGTATCTCGATCGCCAGCGGTGGCAGCATGCGCCTGGGGTGTGTCATGGCGTGAGGTCGCCGGAGCCGGCGACGTAGGCAACGTGGGCGCCTGGTTTGACGTACGTCGTTGAATCGAAGGGGCTCGCGACGCGGCGGTGGGAGAGGCGGCTGTCGCCACTTCGTTGAGCTCGCGGGAGGGCGTCACTACTGGCGGTGCAATGATGTTCGCAGGACCGCACACTCTCGCCGCAGATCCTGAGAGTCCGTCGCGCAAGACGAGCATCGCGGCTGGCGCCTCACCTACCCGGTCTTGGTATTCAGACACCGCTCTCAAGTTCCGCGCCAGAGGGCCGACATCCTCGAGACGTTTCACGCGAGCCACCAGCGACCGCATGTCCGTTCCCAAGATCTCAACTTGGCCTGTCATCGTATCCATGTGCATGGACATGTCGTTGACGCGTCCAGTGATAGGCTCCAACTCTGCAAATCGCCGCGTGAGGTCCTGGACGTTGCCAGCCATGTCGTGGAAGGGGGCCAGAGAGCTTGCCAGTATCTCCCTCAACCCGGATTCGGAAAGGCCGGAGGATGAAGACTGCGAGGCCACTTCTGCCCCGAGAGAACTAGCGGCGATCGGCGAGACAAAAGCGCCGCGCTGATGACCGCCACCCTGGACCGGAGGCACCCCGGAAGGCGCAAGCGAGGGATGGAGCGTAGTGGCTGCGGCACCAGGGCGTGCCTCGCGAGTCGCAGTCGTCGCAGAGACGTGCGCGCTGCTCCCTGAGGCGACCACGTCTTTCAACTCGCGCAGAGCCTGCATGATCTCGCGATGGCGAGGAGCAACATGCTCTGGCTCGTACCGTCCTAGTAACCAGTCGCGATGGTGATTGATTGTATCACGCATCTCGTGGCAGAGCGCTCGTTCGACGTGGTTGGCGAGGAAGATGTCTCCGGACAAATTCAGGGTCGACATGGGAGGCGGACCGCCTTGTGGATAGGTGATTCGACCAACAGCGCTCAGGGTGTCGCGAGCGCCCTCACCGTCGATACGCATATCTACATCAGGAACCACTGAAAGTGAAGTTAGCAGGGGTGATCATTGAACACTGATACGATGCTACCTGGCCAGGGTCGAGCACGAAACCGATCTGAGCCGGTTTGAGGCACAGGGCGCGTCCCAGGGACAGGACTGTGAAACTCCACGCCGCGGTTTCGTGGAACGGAGCTGTTGCGCTGCTGTCCGCCTGAAACCTTCGTCCGAGCTGGCGCTTTGCCCTTGCCCTTATCGACAGCACCCGGAGCCGGCGCACTGCGGACTTCCTCCGCGGGAATCGGAGCGAACGAGGGCGTGGCAGTCCGGGACACCTCAGTAGATGCGCCAGATTGCGAAGCTTGCGACGACAGCGAGCGCGACAGCGGCTCAGAGGGCGCCTGTGATCCATGTTCGCTCTCGTGCGAGAATGAAATGTCGGGAACAAGTGAAGGCGTCGTGGTAGAAGCACCATTTATCGGGGGCGGAGCATCACCGGCGTGCGCGCGCCCTGTTGCGGCGTTATCTGCGGCGGCTGTTTGCTTCCCAGAGGCTGAGGCATCTTGGCGGCGGGGACACTTGCGCGGCGGTGCGGTGCCACTAGCACCATCCCCAGACTGAGGCGAAGGGTGCAAGTTTTCGCCGGCGGCAGATCGCCTGCGGCGCTTCCTAGCACCCTCTGGCACATTACTGACATCAGCCATCGCAACGTCTTCCTGAATGACGGACAAAGCTGCGCCGCCATCGATGTTTGAGCTCCGCGCTGTTGGTCGTGCGTCCGACGGCGACTGATTGGAAGGTGGCGCTGCCAATACGACAGGCCCGCGATGTTCTTCTGGCCCATCTGTGGCAATGGGAGTAATGGACGACGCAGCCTGTGGCGCAGCAGGCGCAGGAGGGGCATCCTCGTCGAGGTCCATCGGTGCTTCGGCTATAGCTGGGATGGCGCTCCGAAGGGGAGGGGCAGATGTCGATGAGGCTTCCGCAACACCTTGTGATGCGACCGCATCTTGTCGTGGAGGGCTGTACTGAGGCGCGGGGGAGGGGTACGCCGGCGGCTTTCCTACACCGCCGGAACCGGCGCCGTGTCGAGCCTTCCCTGCCAACTCTAGCTGCTTGTTGTTTTGCCTTTGCCATGACAAAGTGCTTTTATTGTTGTGAGGATAGTCACGACAACTGACCTTTGTTGTTGTAGAATTGGATTGCCGTGCACGGTTGTTGCTTTGTAGGTTGTAAAACTCGTTCCTCGGGCTTGCCCTCGGTAGCTCGGCTCGGCATCCGGCATCGGCCCGAGCGCGGCGATCGGCCCCGAGCCCCTCATCGGCCCGAGCACGGCGGTCGGCCCCGAGCTCCTCATCGGCCCGAGCTCGGCCACCGGTCCCGAGCTCCTTGTCGGTCCGTGCGCTGGCGCGCGTACCCTCCCGTCCACCATCCGCGCCCGCCCGCCCGCCCTCCTTACCGCCATCC